TAAACCTTGTGCCTTCCTGTTATGCTTTATGTATGTTTTTTTGGGAGCATTGTGTTTAGTTACGGTGTTTCTTTCTCTATAATTTTATTTTTCCAGTCTGCCTTGGCAAGAGGTGTCAGCAAATACTAGAGAGGAAGAGTTTGAGAAGATGTGTGAAATAAAAGAGTCAATTTCAATAGAGGTAAGCTGAAACATTGATGATTGAAGTACAGTTAACGTGCGTGCTTAAAGTTGCTTGCGAGTATTGATTAGTCATTGCTCTCTTAATTCGTTCATAGGAGTTATGCCGAGGATATCCAACGGAATTTGCGGCATACTTGAACTACTGCAGGTCTTTAAGGTTTGATGAAAAACCAGATTATGCTTATCTGAGGAAGCTCTTTCGCCGCCTTTTTGATCGAAAAGGTTGAAAACATATGTTTTTCGTGCATGTAGTGTTCTCATAGTAGGGCCGTGCGGTTAACCATGTCAGCTCATGTGCGTGTGTTCTTGCTTCAGGTTATCAGCGTGATCTGAAGTATGATTGGGTTCGTAACCCGGCCTGCTTGTTGTCAGAGGAAGGTATTGACTTGGCTAGAAGATTGTATAGAAAAGTGGTGCCGTATTGCCCAAGAAATAAAAACGCTGGACCGGTTATAAAGCACTGTAATTAGGCTGTGGTTTAGGGTTTGGACATTAAATCCGTACTGCATCTAAGTAACTAGCTAGCACTCTTTCTATTTTCTTTCCTTTTTATGCTCATTTTCTTATGCTAAAATTCTACTTCTTTATTCTCCGTTTGAGAATTTATTTGGTCCACATCTCAGGCTCTGGTTTTCGACAGGGAATTATTAGGACTAGTTTGATATTTTACTAGAATTCAACTTTTTGAACCGAAAAAAAGTTTTCAAATTTTAGGCTTTGAAAACACATTTGGTGTGACTATTTTCAGAAATTGGTTTCGAAGACCAACTTAAAAACAACAAAGATGAATTTTTAGAGTTTAAACTCAAGGGCTCATACCTTTTTTTCGCTCCTCTCTTCTCACTCCGAATCCCTCTCTTTCTCCTCCTTTTCTCTCTTCTTTTTCTCTCTCTCATATTCTTAAAATGTGTTTTTGGGTGATGTTTTGAGAATGATGAAATTTTTTCAATAGGATACCAAACGAGCTCTTAAGTTTTTTAGTTTTTTATTTTTTGATAATTGCTTCTCTTACGGAACTGGCAATGTTGCCCCAGTGAGGGCTATTCGCTTCTCTTTCTGAACTTGAATTGTCGCCACAGTGAGGGCTATTCGCTTTCTCTCCCAATATTGGAGATAAATATTAGTCGAAAAAGAAATACCAATAGACCACAATGGAGCCGATGACAGTAGTTAGTCGAGGCATATATTAAAATAACGTGAACTTCATCTAGTTTGTTCTTGTACTCATAAACACTAAGCAGATTAGATGTTTGCTCAAGTTTTGACATTTGAGTACTGGGACGTATGGATATGAATGTGTTGGCAGATTAAGAGAAGAGGAAACTGCTCAGGTTGCAAACACCTTGTTCATATTTTGGTATAACCATATTTTGGTATCACCACCCTGTTCCGCCTCCCCACCATCGGAACCGTCGTCACAACCGCCACCCCCTGCCACCCTGAGGAAGTAGTTCCGTCACAACCACCACCCCTTGCCACCCTGAGGAAGTAGTTCCCGTAATTGACATTCTTGATATGATTGTCCTTGGGCAACTCTTTAGGCTGATTATGAACATACATTTCAGCTCCGGTGTCGATCTTGATACCTTGTTCGAAGCCTTGGAACAACTTTTCGAGCCCCAGCTCATTGACCCGAACATTTTCAACCCCAGCGGCGTCTCAAGACCGCTGCAAAGGCAGGGAAGAGCCGCTGTCACTCGGCATGCCAGCTCCATGGGCTACCAAAGGGTGCCAGACTCCGGCGCCTCTGCGTGCAGACAGGTATCCGCCTCCGTCACCCCAGCCGGCGCTACCCGATCGTCCGCCGTCGGGAGCCTCTAGATGATCCGCTCCACCCACATACCCTTCACCCTCATACTCTCCGCCACGACCCTCTCCAAGTGCGCCGTACGCCCTCCCTCCCTAACTTTGGGCGTCTGGAGCGGCATGGATGCTGCCATTTCCGGTGAGGTGTGCTTCTTCTTTCTTGTTGATGTCTTACCTGTTGTAAAGAAACTGTGGGTCTTTCATAGGGTGTAGGGTAGGGTTTTTCCATATCATAATTACGCTTTAGGTGTTCTTTGTTCCATCATGGGAGAAAGAACATGTAAAATGTTGGATTCGATTGGCAGAACGATATTGCGTTACACCAGCACAGAGCAATACTATATGTCTATATGTCACTGCACCTGCACTGCACTACTGCGACAGTCTGAAATGAAAAGCTTAACTAATTAGCCCTTGTGCCTAACTCAATTGTTTGGTCAATCATTGAATCGAAATCACAGTTTTTGAAGGTGGGATTTTGATGCGAGCGGGTATTGATTAACTGCAGTATGATCACCTTTTTCTTTTCTTTCTATGGGTTAAAAGTTTCGATTTAAGATGCTTATCATGCTCTGGTTGTCTTTTGTAGGTGGATAGTTTTCCATGGATAGTTCTTGTGGTTTCTGAATACTCGAACTTATCCTTACTTCTCAACCAACCATTCGATCCCGCTTCTGTAGCAGTATATAATCTCGATCTTTTCAGATAGTTTTAGCATTTTTTAGGTTAACAGGAAATAGAAGGTGAAGAACGACATTTACCAAGTTTGCTCCGATTTCAATTGATCCCAAAAGCAAAGTTTTACTCATTACAAGTTAGCATTTTTTGTTGTTGTTCTTTTTAAAGTCGTCCAAAGGTACATACAATACAAGGCGGTTTTCAGCAGTTCATTCAAAGGTTTCAACATTTCAATGGTTTAATATGCACTGGTTCAGTAATTGGATAGATATGTGCAGAGAAGAGGCCTAATCTGTTACATAAAGCGTCTCATGTTGTTTGACTCGGTTGCTTTACTTTGTAAAGAATGTGCATTGGTGTTGCAAAGCAAACCAGAGTATAGAATGACTTGTAATGAGTAAAACTTTGCTTTTAGGATCAATTGAAATCAGAGCAAACTTGGTAAATTTCGTTCTTCACCTTCTATTTCCTGTTGACCTAAAAAATGCTAAAACTATCTGAAAAGACCGAGATTATATACTGCTGCAGAAGCGGAATCGAAGGGTTGGTTGAGAAGTAAGGATAAGTTCGAGTATTCGGAAACCACAAGAACTATCCATGGAAAACTATCCACCTACAAAAGACAACCAGAGCATGATAAGCATCTTAAATCGAAACTTTTAACCCATAGAAAGAAAAGAAAAAGGTGATCATACTGCAGTTAATCAATACCCGCTCGCATCAAAATCCCACCTTCAAAAACTGTGATTTCGATTCAATGATTGACCAAACAATTGAGTTAGGCACAAGGGCTCATTAGTTAAGCTTTTCATTTTTCAGACTGTCGCAGTAGTGCAGTGCAAGTGCAGTGACATATAGACCTATAGTATTGCTCTGTGCTGGTGTAACGCAGTATCCTTCTGCCAATCGAATCCAACATTTTACATGTTCTTTCTCCCATGATGGAACTAAGAACACCTAAAGCGTAATTATGATATGGAAAAACCCTACCCCACACCCTATGAAAGACCCATAGTTTCTTTACAACAAGTAAGGCATCAACAAGAAAGAAGAAGCATATCTCACTGGAAATGGCGGCGTCCTTGCCGATTCGGACGCCCAAAGCGAATGAGGGAGGGCGTACAACGCACCTAGAGAGGGTCATGGCGGAGAATGTCGGAGCGGATCATCTAGAGGCTCCGACGGCGGACGATCGGGTAACGCCGACTAGGGTGACGGAGGCGGATACCTGTCTGCATGAGGAGGCGCCGGAGTCGGGCACCCTTGGTAGCCCGTGGCGCTGGCACGCCGAGCGACGATAGCTCTTCCCTGCCTTTGCAGCGGTCTTGAGACGTCGCTGGCGACGGAGTCGGAAGGTGGATTTTAGGTTCCATGGGGTTGAAAATGTTTGGGTCGATGAGTTGGGGCTCGAAAAGTTGTTCCAAGGCTTCGAACAGGGTATCAAGATCGACTGAAATGTATGTTCAGAATCAGCCTAAAGAGTTGCACAAGGACAATCATATCAAGAATGTCAATTACGAGAACTACTTCCTCAGGGTGGCGGTTATGACGGCGATTCCGATGGTGGGGAGGCGGAACATAATGGTGATTGGCTGGGCATTCGAAGGGAGGAGGAGGAGGAGGACGCCATTTGAGGTTTTCTTCCTTTCTCTAAACGCATAAAGGCGTTCGTTTTGGTTCCCGCTTAGAATGGATTGCTTTTTTATTTTAATTTGGGGCTTTTGGATAATTTTTTAATGGAGAAAATTGTAGTCATGGTGTTTTTACTTTAATCTAATTAGAAAAATGGTATTTCAACTAAAAATTCATAACTATTGATCTTTTACCTCATAAAAATGTAGAGCTATGATCCCTTAACTCATAAATACGTGCAAATATGGTCTTTTTCGTCAACTCAATCAAAATTCAGTCAAAATAAGTCATGTTGGAAAGATCATTGCTACAATTGTTAAAGTTGAGGGTCATTGCTCTAATTTGGTTAAAGTTGAGAGCATTTCTCCAATTGGGTTAAAATTGAGAGACCATTTTTCTCATTATGTTTTCCCTATTCGTCCCTTAAATCAGTCTCTCGTGTGTGACACGTGACTCATTTTTATGGAAGTTTTAACGGGTTGATGAAAATGATCATAGTTGCATGTTTTAGAGAGTTAAGGAATCAATGGTCATGAATTTTTAGTTGATAGACTATTACTCTAATTAGATTAAAGTTGAGCAACCATTGCTACAATTTCTTCTTTTTTAATATATAATATTCAGTAAAAAGTCGTAAACGACTTGTCGTTTATAAAACTATGTTTTGGTCCCTGTCACGTGACTCTCTTTCTCTACCAAATTGTAATTCTGTTTTCCCTTTCGGCCGACTCAAATAGTCCGTTTGGCTGCCGAGAAAGCTCGGGAAAAGAAAGGAAAATCCAATAAAACCAAAACCCTATTACAAATCCTCTCACAGTTGCACTGCAAGAACACCCAATTCGAACTGATCGGAAATGGCGAGCTATCTATGGAGGAAATACGCAGATTACGTTTACACAAAGTGGGAAAGAATGATTCTTTGGAACATGGTGGAGCCCTACAGCAGACCCAAATCGTTCACCCCGTTGGTCACCATCTACGTCGCCGCTTTCTACACTGGTGTGATTGGTTCTGCTATCACTGAGCAGCTTTACAAGGTAATCACTTTGCTCGGTATTCATTATTTTTTATTTTGCTTGTTTTTATTGCTATTATTGTTAATTTTCGGGGTTAATTTAGTTGATCAAAACCCACAATTTGAGATGGGGTTTTTAGTTTTGATGCCCTAGTTTATAGGAAAAATAAAGTTGGAGAATTTCCTAATTTTTGTTCAGCTTCAAATGTTGCATAGATGTACTGAAATTTTGAAACCTGTTGATTGATGTCTGTGCTAACAATTTGCTGAAAAATCTAAGCTTGAGTACTTAAAATTAGACGAAATCATTGCCCGAAGATCGGTTTCTTCTTGAAGCTTCTAGTGGACTGAAATCTGCTGCCAACTTGTTGAGGTTATTTGAACAATGTGTAGTTTGGGGGAGGTCATTTGATAGAATGCCTTATGGCATTGCTTCGTCTGCTTGAAGGTATATATCATTGTATGAGTTGATGCCATATGTACATAACTGAGAGGTGTGTCAGGAATCAGACCTGGAAACGAATTTTGGAGCCGGAAGGAGTAGCATTTGATGCGAAATTGGCTACACACTTTTTTTATTAGTTCAATAGGTCTAGTTTATTGTTAGCATCGAGCTTGTGATGATTTAATCATAGATCTGATATGCTCTGATTTCTAAATTGTAATTACGAATAGTGGAGGAACAGGGTTTGGAAAAATATGCCTATTTTCCGGTTCTGGCCTGCTTTTAGAAGATTTATACTGAGTAGTTTTTGATCATTTTGACATTTAGATATCGATGAATTGGTTCAGCTGTATATACATATCTACATTTCGGCATATATATCCGAAGTTCAATAGAGATAAATCTTCTTATGTCAAGTTTTGTAGACCTCATAAAAATTTCGCCTTCTGGTATTGTGCAGGAAAAATACTGGGAAGAACATCCCGGGCAGGCAGTGCCTCTTATGAAGCCAAAGTTTTACGGAGGACCGTGGAGGGTACAGCAAGGCGAGGTCCCAGCCACTCAGTGAAAGCCATAGACCAGTCGGAGAAATTGTTATACGAGCTTCTACTATTCTATACCATTTTCTGTTGATGTATGCCAACCGTTTTTAAAGGTCTCCGGTGTACGGAACGATCGTCACCGTTCACTTTTCTTTTCCTTTTCCTTTTCAGCTAAACCATTTTTTGTACATCCGATGTTATAAATAAAACATCAAGCGATCATAACAAACTTGCTTAAACATTACCCTAACACGTAGCTGATATGTGATCAGTGATCTAAACTTCTCCCCCAAAATTAGAAATCCAAGCTATACACATTCTGCACTATCTTTGCCACAGACCTCCGTACCATTTTATTCTTCTCTCCGTCTCCGCCCCATCTCTGCCACCGGACAATGACAACGTATGGGACTATCCCGACCGAACCCCCGGCATCCTCGAACCAACATTTCGTCGCACTCGCAAAAGAACAGATCCAATCAGCCCTAGGCAACCGAAGACCATGGCAGGAGATTATACAACTGCAAAATCTCACCCTTCCCTCCACCTTCAACCAATCAGTCCATCGAATCAAGACGAACGTCGTTTTCTTTCGCATGAACTACGCCATCATCACATTGTCCATCCTCTTCCTAAGCCTCCTATGGCACCCCATTTCGTTGATCGTCTTCATCGTCATGATGGTTGCATGGATCTTTCTATTTTTCCTGCATGACCAACCGTTGATGATTCTAGGGTACCGGATCAACGGGCAAGTGGTGATGATGGCCCTGTTGGTGGTCACACTCGTCGCGCTTTACCTTACTAATGCGAGATATCATATCATCGCGGGACTCTGCATTGGCCTTGCGGTTGTTCTGGTGCATGGAGCTCTGAGGGAGCCTGAGGATGTCTTCATTGTGGATGATGAAGGGCCTGGATCAGGTGGAGGTGGTGCGCATGTTCACAAAGTGCCTCTCAAACATGCTGCATCTTCTTCTTATTCTTTGGCCAAACAATGAGATTCACAAAAAAGTAAGGCCTTCTTTTCACCATCTTTTCTTTTCTAAAACAGAAATTATTTTCACACCCCCTTTTCTACCTCTTCACGCCTCTCTTTTCTTTTGCTTGAATTGAGAAAACGGGAACAGAATCAAGGGGCATAAACAAAGGAGAAAACAAGAGTGCGGAAATCATTTTTCTTTTTTCTTTTTTTTTTCAAAATTTCCTTGTACATGATGGTGAATTATGGGTTCAACGACATGTGTCTCTAGGACTCAAAATCTGTAAATTCATATGTAAATGGTGACACGCAATTGGAGCTGAAACTGCAAAGAAACTCCATATAGATCAAGGGAAATTTCAGGTTCTTCCTCTATGAGAATTGATGGAAACAGAAGGCTCCAGAGGCTCGAGCAACTCCAACTTTTTTCCCCGTTGTCATAGTGGACAAATGGGTAGATAAGAATGAACCTTTTTCCTCCAAAGTTCCAACGTCCAAGAGGGTAGAAGAACATATATTCAAAGGTTAGTGCAAAGCGCAAATGTGAGTTAGACCAGTTTATCGGAGCATTGTGTCCGCCTTTTTTCATCCGAGTTCTTATGTGCCTCCATGTAGAATAAAGTAGAGGATAGGAAACATGGTGTATATGTTGATGAATGGATGATTGGTTTTAGCAAGTTGCTATTGGAATCTGTCTAATTATCATGAAGTCTTCAATTTCATGCTACAAACAATATGTTAAGATTCAACCAAATTACAAGATCTTTTATATGTCATGATACCAATGCATCAGATAAGAGAATTGAATGCTTATTTAGAACCCTTTTCATATTTTGGTAAACTAAGCGCGTGTTTGATAACTATTTTTTTTTTTTTTCATCTTTTTGCTTGTAGGATTTAAAGCAATAGTTAAAGTTAAGAATTGGGGTTTGAGTTTTGGAGTTAGAAATGCATTTCACACCCTTTGGTTTGTTTGCTTGGCCCTACCAGAAAACGAGGGAACTGTTTGTTTAGTGCAGCATGAGAAACGTGATAATTGTGAAATAAAATGTGTGGATTAATACCCTTAATAATAAAAAATTTCACTTTCCTTGTCCCCCATTATGAGGTAGACAATTCCACTAGAGAAATTTTATATTAGTAATAATATTTTTTTGGAAATACAATGAATAAACAATTTTGTTAAAAGCTCTGGTTTTATCATATACTAACCTCTTTCGTGTGTGTGTGGTAATTGGTATTTTTATATTTTTTATTTAAATAATTAATTTATGTATTTCTAAAAAAATATTAAAAAAAAAGAAGAAGAAATGAAGTAGAACACGAAACCATCCGCTAACGTGGGAGTTTTTATTTTTTATTTTTTTCTATAATTTTAAATATTAAATTCATTCAAAATAAAAATATGATTAAATACTTTAGCTTCTTTTGGTTCAATTGTAATTTATGAAATTCTTATAGGGCAATTTATGGTATTTTAAATGTTTTACCATTTTAAGGTACTCACTTTATATATATATATATATATATTAATCATTTAAAATTACGAGAAAAATGAGAAAATATTGAAAAATATCAAAGTTAAAAATGGTTTTATTGGTTTTCACTTTCAAGGTTTTGTTTCATACATTTTGTTTCATTTCTCCCTCCTCTCTCCCTCCACATTCCTCATCATCCCTCTTTATCCCCATATATTTCCGCTCTATATCTCTGTTGACCCTAAAAACTACAAAGCCTACGTGGCGCGCAAGCCGAGTAATTAATAAGCTAACTACGTCCTTCGGTGATTGCGGGGCGTGCCAACTCGTCGGCCGAGCTCGGCCGAGGAGTAAATTTGTTGATGTTGCGTTGAGCGCGCTGCTGACTTCTGTGTCTTGCGATTGCGGCCGAGGAAGGAACAATTCTCGGCCTCTTGGGTTCTAGAGCCTGAAGACAAGGCTGCTAATTTGCGAAGTTCAATCTCAAATTCGGCTTTCAATGTGCCGAATACAATAACCTGGTAACACCTCACTTCGCCGAGAAGGCTGATGAGATGACCTCGACCAATAAGGATTAGAAACCCTTCTCGACCGAGACTTGGATAGGTAATCAACCGTTCTCGCCGCAGTGCTGTTGATGCCAACGGAAGATACTGCGAGACCGATCGATTCTACGGTGACAGAGCTATCTATGCCGACTTAAGATATCACCGGTTGCCTTCACAGTGCTGTTGATGCCAACGGAAGATGTGTCGGCGGAAAAAGAAAATAAAAATCTCAAGGTGTTGAGAGGGTTTGCGCAGGGCAGTTTTGTGTGTTGAATTGGAGGGGTTTTTCACACTGCACAGCGCCTTGTATTTATAGCAGTGATGTATTTACTAGCCAACCCGTGCAATCCTGGCCCAAAGCAAAACACTCATCCGAGATAATTATCATAGAAGCCTTTGTCATCATCTTGATATCCTGAAATAGTTGGCGACTGCAATTTTGCTTGTATTGAGACTAGATACACTAGTCTCCTGATAAGACTCGTTCTTAGAATCGTAGTCAACTTTAACTTCCCAGGCACAACGCTCCATATCTTATCACCCATTCAGCGGATCATCTTCGATTCTACATGTACGAATTGCATGGAAAATGGTCTCTCAATTCCCTACGTACATGCATGAATCCAATTCTTTTATCTCCAAACCCACGTGCACCACTTGGAATGTGTGTAACATCAGGATTACCACTTGGTCAAAATCATCACCAATCTTGTTTATCAAATCCCACTTGCAGCTTTATCCCATTTATTTTGCATAAAAACCGAGATAACTAGTTAAGAGATAAATATTATGATTAAAAATAATAATATTATCTCTTAACAATAATATCTTAACTTTCTTATCCAACGGTTGAGAACCATGCTTACTCAACGGCATCGACCGCTTAAGCCGATGGTGTAAAATCGGGTCCAAACATTGCCTCCCAGTTTCCTTGAGCTTCGGCTCGTAAGCCGAATGATTAAGGAAATTAAGTCTCGTACCCACCAAAATCTCGTGGTATCGCCGAAGAAGATAAAAATTTATCGGCAAACGAAAAACACATCATGCTATTAAGAACTCATAGTTGAGCAAGTGTGGCCGAGAAGGACTGGGGTCAAGCAAGTGCTATGTTTTATAGCATGATAACAACCTTTGGCCGAGGTCGGCCTGCTTATATATATATATATATATATATATATATATATATATATATATATATATATATATATATATATGTACTCCACCGCATGGCATGAATTGATATGCACCCATACATCCATTGAAGCCTGCACGCTCTGTCGTCCATGATACCCAAAGCCACATCCTGTTTCAGTCTTGCTTGAAGCCCGCGGCCAGTTATGTCCCCCAGTTTCAAAAGTTAAGTTTAAGCCCAAAGACTTGGTTACATAACTTGGGAAGTATTTCTCGACAAGTACGCCGAGCTCGGCCTAACAAACTCTCGGCAAGCAACTTTTTATATATACTCATCCTCGGCAAGATTAAATCTGATCCGCCGATTATATCACATGTGCCCCCTTTATTTTCTTAAGCATCGGCTAGGCAGCCGAATGGTTTAAGAAAATAATTTCTTATTCTTTTTTTTTTTTTTTTTAACAGAAGAAAACGAAAGTGGCCGATCAATAGTCAGGAGGAGGCCAACAATGCTTTACTCCAAGCCGAGATCTTTTAATATCAAAATTCTCAAATTGATTTCGCTCTAGGCCGAATAAAGAATTCTCTCCAAATATTTTTGACTTGATGGAATATTTTTCATTCTCGGCCGCCGAATGTGTTGAACAATTATTATGCCCCCCAGGCATAATTTCGGCTTTTAATTCAAACAACTTAGCCGAACAGGATTTCTCCATATCGGCTTTATTGCCAATAATCATATCAATTGGCGTAGTTTCTTGGGCTAGGCCAATATCTTGGCCTCGTTCGTCATTGGAGCATTCCTTTGACGAATCATTTTCTAAGTCGAGTTGTGGCTCAGAAATTTGAATTTTTTCTTCTAGGCCCACCACACTTTCAGTCTCAACCAAAAAAACAGGTGGCCCATGTTCTTCTTCGGCCGTCTCGACAATTTTCTGAGGCCGAATTTTAATTGTGGCCGGAGCGAAAAATTGCTCCCCGGCCTTTGGACCTAACCATTTTTCAAATGAAATTGATCTGTAATCAGAAACATAAGGAAAATGTTCTTCATCTAGCCAGGCATTAAATCTAGCCCTGTCTTCATTTACCCATTGCTCTTGCAAGATAACAGGAGCTTTTATTCTCAACATGCAAGCGAATGACTTTTGCATATCTCTATGGCCACGAAGAATTTTTTCCACTTCAAAAGATCTTTTACGTTCCTCATTGTGTTTTTTCAATTCTTCTAGGAGCTCGTATAATCGGCTACGTTGAGCCAGATCGGAATCTTGATATATCATATGAACTTCGTAGTTTTAGCACTAGGTCCCACTGGGCGTGCCAAAATGTTGACCCTAAAAACTACAAAGCCTACGTGGCGCGCAAGCCGAGTAATTAATAAGCTAACTACGTCCTTCGGTGATTGCGGGGCGTGCCAACTCGTCGGCCGAGCTCGGCCGAGGAGTAAATTTGTTGATGTTGCGTTGAGCGCGCTGCTGACTTCTGTGTCTTGCGATTGCGGCCGAGGAAGGAACAATTCTCGGCCTCTTGGGTTCTAGAGCCTGAAGACAAGGCTGCTAATTTGCGAAGTTCAATCTCAAATTCGGCTTTCAATGTGCCGAATACAATAACCTGGTAACACCTCACTTCGCCGAGAAGGCTGATGAGATGACCTCGACCAATAAGGATTAGAAACCCTTCTCGACCGAGACTTGGATAGGTAATCAACCGTTCTCGCCGCAGTGCTGTTGATGCCAACGGAAGATACTGCGAGACCGATCGATTCTACGGTGACAGAGCTATCTATGCCGACTTAAGATATCACCGGTTGCCTTCACAGTGCTGTTGATGCCAACGGAAGATGTGTCGGCGGAAAAAGAAAATAAAAATCTCAAGGTGTTGAGAGGGTTTGCGCAGGGCAGTTTTGTGTGTTGAATTGGAGGGGTTTTTCACACTGCACAGCGCCTTGTATTTATAGCAGTGATGTATTTACTAGCCAACCCGTGCAATCCTGGCCCAAAGCAAAACACTCATCCGAGATAATTATCATAGAAGCCTTTGTCATCATCTTGATATCCTGAAATAGTTGGCGACTGCAATTTTGATTGTGAGACTAGATACACTAGTCTCCTGATAAGACTCGTTCTTAGAATCGTAGTCAACTTTAACTTCCCAGGCACAACGCTCCATATCTTATCACCCATTCAGCGGATCATCTTCGATTCTACATGTACGAATTGCATGGAAAATGGTCTCTCAATTCCCTACGTACATGCATGAATCCAATCCTTTTATCTCCAAACCCACGTGCACCACTTGGAATGTGTGTAACATCAGGATTACCACTTGGTCAAAATCATCACCAATCTTGTTTATCAAATCCCACTTGCAGCTTTATCCCATTTATTTTGCATAAAAACCGAGATAACTAGTTAAGAGATAAATATTATGATTAAAAATAATAATATTATCTCTTAACAATAATATCTTAACTTTCTTATCCAACGGTTGAGAACCATGCTTACTCAACGGCATCGACCGCTTAAGCCGATGGTGTAAAATCGGGTCCAAACAATCTCCCACAAAGAAAGCAAACTAAAAACGGAAAGAACGAAATGGTTATGAAAAGCTTCACTGTTCAACCACTATCTTTAGTGTAAAGCAAGAGCGGGTGGACATTGGGACCAAGGTGATCCTAGGACCATTCGGAGTTTAGGAAAATATTCATCTGAAGGTCTTCCGAGGACATCTTCAAATGTTTGGTACAGGTCTTTTTATGCCTACCAAGTGTTTAATGTAGTTTCTGCTAAGCAGTGCTCTTCAGATTGTGTCAACAATACTTGACAAATTCTCTCTATATTCTCATCAGATTGCTTTGGTATATGTTTACTTGTTAACATATGCGCAACATGGTCAAACTGACAACAACAAGCCCACTAAGTGGTCGAAACAAAATGATCAATGGATCAACTGAAAATTTTGAGCGTTACTTGCTCTGTTTCTATCTTTAAAAACTTGTTTCAATGGGCCCCCAAAGTTCGAATCATAGATCTCTGCATTGGTTAAAAGGTTGGGCCCCCTAGGTATAATGTGTCATTCTAGACTGGTTTTCTTGGCAACAAAGGCACAATATTCACAATGAAAAGGAACCATGACACTTTGTGAAACACATTAGGTTCCAACTTTGCATTCATCAAGATGTGGCCATATCTCGTCTTCCCATTTCCATCCAACTACTCAACCGGCGCAGATGAAATCGCCAAAATGTTAAAAACTCCGAACTCACGGCTGAAAATTGCCTTGTATCGTACCTTCCGGTGATCGAAAAACAACAAAATTGTAACTTGTAATGAGTAAAAATCTGCCCCTCTCGTCCATTCAAAACAGAGTAACTTAGTTAACTTCGTTCTTCCCTTCCTTTCTGAAAGGTGAAAGTATTGGAAATCCAGCTCAGTAGATTCCGAGGCGACTAGTTCAATATAATACTGCAGCTCTCTATCTGTACCATCCAATATAATACTGCAGCTCTCTATCTGTACCATCCAATCCATAAGCTTATGGGAATCTTTGCTCTCTTTCTCCAAAAAGTTGCTTCTGAAAATAGTTGGCACTTGGCAGCCACTGAATGGCCACATCCCACAACGGGGATGCACATCACATTGTCGTGTGAAAAAATTAAAACGAGCAACAGTTTGTTTAGTGAAAAGAGAAAAAGCCCAAGGATTCATATACTCTGAGATTGCTGGTGACAAAAACTTACAAAGCGGATTGATTACAATTTGCATGGCGTCATGCAGAAGATGAACTTCCCTACAGCGGAATTCGAATCACACACTATGATTGAATTAGAATACTGCTACAATAACATCATGTTCTCCGTTAAGGACCACGTTTATTTGTTTATACACATAAATCTCTTATTAAGAACAATATACTCAAACATTACAAATGATCATCATCATCTTTATTTTTTATTTTTTCACATACTCATGATCATCAAAGATCAAGACTTTATACACCATTTGAACCCGAACCGCAGTGGAAAACCCGAAAATCGACCTTGGGCGAAATGGCCTGAAAGAGCAACCTCGCCGTGTGCTCTTGCTTAACCACTGCGCCATCCTTCTCCACCAAAACCGCACCCACAATCTTCTCATACCCGCCACCACCGCCGACGATGTATGCCACCACCGCGGCCTGAGCGGGGCCCATGCTCGGATTATAGGCGGCGGACTCCATGTACGACCCTTTGTACATTTTCCCATCGGAGTCCAAAATCGCCACACCCGACGGGCACCCGCTGTACGGCGCGTGTGACTTATTCGCGGCCTCTAAAGCCGCGGCTTTTAACTCCGCATTCAGTTTAAAATCGTCGGTTAAATTCTCGGTTTCGCTCAAAAACGACAGACCGTTTTCGAGCTGCTCTAAGAGCAAGGGGACGTCCTGTCCCAGGAGGTCTTCGGGTCCGAACCGGTGGGGGAGTAAGTGTAGGAGCGGGTCGAAACTGTTTATCCCGGAATTGTCGTCGCCGGATTCCACCGAGGTAATTAGGATCTGGATATCCTGGGCTCCGCGGATTTCTTGGATGAACTGGCGGCAATGGCCGCAGGGGGCAGCGGAGACGGCGATGTATTGGAGCTTGGATTCCGATTGGATTGAGAGGTTGGTGACAAGGAACTGCTCGGCGTGGACCGAGTAGTGGAGGGGGAGACCCGGGAACTCGAGGTTGACGCCGATGAAGATCCGACCAGATGACCCGTACCCTACGGCGCCTACATGGAATTTGGAGATGGGCGGGCGGGCGAGGTCCTGGGCGGGCTTGACGAGGGAGGGGAGGAGCTGAAGGACGGTGAGGTTGGACTGCTTGGCCATTGATTCGGCCTCGGAGGCTTCGATTACGAATCTGGGTTGGTCCATTTCTGGGAGAGGGGTAAGCGGGTCGACCCGATTAAGGGGATTGGTGCGTTGGGATCGGAGGGAGAGATCCTTGAAATGTGGATGAAGAGGGAGGGCTAAGGTAATGGGACTTGTTTATATAGAGATTGGAAGGAGACCATGATTTTAGTAAAAGAGTTTTAGAGGACAATTTTTTTATTTTTTTATTTTTTTTTATTTCTATATTTTTAGTCAAGCAGTGTTCGTAAATTAGATGTTAGAAACATGTTGAATTTGTTTGAATGTGCTTTTAAAATGATTAAAGACGTTTTTTTTGAAAATATTTTTGAAAGCAATTCTTAGAAAAATGCTAGTAAATCCTTGATAAGCATTTAAAGTGTTTTCTGAAAGAAAAAAAACACATAACTGGTGCTTCTTGGAGAAAGCACTTAAAGTATTTTTGGAATCCAAAAATATTTTATTTAAAAATACTTTCAGTCATTTTAAGAGTACATCTAAACGAGCATGTTCTCTAATATTAAGTGTTATAATATAATTAGTTGAATTTTTTATTTTTAAATTATAACTAATTGTATTATTATAATTAATTTATAGAACCGTGTTACTTACACGCTAAAAAATCTCTCGTCTTAGAGGTCTTTACAATAAAGACCTTTAGTGAGCGATATACTTAGTTATTTCAAGCACTAAATTATGCATAAAAAAATTAATAAGGAAAGTCGTTAATTATTTTTAAGCTTAAGTAGATGTCTGGATGTTATTTAAGAAAAAAACATTATTAACAAATTAATGCGACGTATTTACCAAAAAAGTTGAAACTTCTATCTTTGGGATAGGATCAAGGGACACATATTTTTACAAATACTTTTACACTCTTTTTATGTCTTTTGATTACATAACATCCAATGGTTCTTATGTATTCATTAAATGACATGAATGCTTATGTGGATTTTAACTAATATTAAAGATAAAATAAAACTGAAAAAACATACATAAAATTTGGAAAATTAAAACTAAAATTAAAAAAAGGAAGAAACCCTAGTTGTACGTAGCCCTCCATCTCCCCCTTTGCTGATGTGGTTTTGCAACTTCATGTCTTGGATTGATACGAAATTTTGATGCCTTCTACAAGGAGTCAAGTTATTATTTTCTTAAATCTTGATTAGGTAAGCAAACCAAAACCCTAAATTCTATATTATTGTTTATATATGTGGGGTGATTAAATTAGGTTTTGCACACTGCTTGAAAATTCTCTACTTGGAAAACCTTGCAATCCTTCAACATTGTATACGCGCACACACAAATATATATATTTTTATGTGTTTTTCGGTTTTATTTTATCTTTAATATTAGTGAAATTCATATAAGCATCTATGTCATTTAATGAATAAATAAGAACCATTTGATGTCATGTAATCAAAAGGTTTAAAAAAAAGTGTAAAAGTATTTGTTCCTTGATCCTATCCCTTTATCTTTTATTTACACTTTTAAACTAAGGATATTTTAAAGAGTCTTTTAATATCGGTCCAAAGTAACTAAGAATTTGACTTATTTTAAAAGTCAAAAGTCATTAAAAAATTTCCCTATTTTAAACTACTTACTCACAGGATATAAATATTTTTGCTCACTACCGATTATAATGTATGTTCACTATAATTATAGTGAAATCCAATGGGTGATGGTGGCGGAGATGGAGTGGAAGGGAGATGTGTGGCGGGGTATTGGGTTAATGTGAGACATCATCATTACAATAAACTCAATGTGGTTCATTATATTACATATAAAAAATAAAAATACCAAAATTATATATATTTTTATAAAATTGTTATTAGCACTTAAAGAAATCATTTAAAACTAAAAACACGTTCGTCTGCAGGGGGAGGGAAGGGAATGGGCTACTGGTTTTGTGCTAATCTTGGTCAAGATGAGATTCTATGTGCTAAAGTTTGGGATGTTTTTATTGGGTTGCAAGTTGTGTGGAATAATGAAATTAAGAAGATTATGGTGAAATCGGATTCTGCAATTGGAGAGCAATTGATTTTAATGCAGAAGTGGATAATCACCCTCTCGGAAGTTTAGTATTGAATTATCGTGCTCTTATGCTCCAAAACTAGTCTTGTGAAATTCGACATATTTACAGTGAAAATAATTTTGTTGCTAATGATCTCATTTGGGTTTGTCATGCAGTTTGAGTTTAGTCTTTTCTTAGCAAGCTCCTCCTTCTTGTTGATTGTTGGTTGCAAATATAACTATTGTCTCGTAATCTCGTGATTTTTTAAGTAATCTTTTAGTTTTTTTTTAGCCTATGCTTTGTTGTCAACAAAAAAAAAATATGTACAAAAACAAGTGCAATTGAATATTTTGAAGTGTCGATAATAGTACTTTTTATTTATATTTATAGAAGATTCCTTCAATATTCTTCATCTTTGAACCATTCCTCATGGAGTAATGTAGCAGTCCAAAATCACACGACACAAATAGGTTGGATGGAAAAATCAAACTCAATGAAAATAACATTGTCCTTGGTTATATATAGGTGGGTCAAAACTCAAAAGTATTATATTACAAACAATATTTAGATGCACGTACCCATCAATGATAATGTAATTACATATATATAAATATAAATACTGCATGACTTAAGTCAGCTTCCTGTATGCTGCATGGGCAGAAGTGAAACGTAACCAAATGAGAGCATCGTAAGCCTTTCCTCTGTCGTATTTTAAACTTTTTATTGTCGTTAGGCAAAGAAAATCTATAGTATTGAATTCATAAGATAAGATAAGATATGGTATATGATTGAAACATATGCTCATATATGAGAAGGCCAGATTTCCATAGGATTTAGGAGATATAAAAGTGGACGACCTCAAGTTAATAAGGCTCTTCGTGTTGGGAGGATTGGGAGGAATGTCTATTGTAGGCAATCTTATCTTTACTTTACAAAGAAGCTGTTTCCACAACTCGAACTCATGATCTTTCAGTCATAAATGAACAACCATTTTATTGCGCTAAGGCTCGTCCTCATGAAATATAAAAGAGGAAAAGAAAACTAGCTAGCCATAGTCCACAATCTAATATCGAAGCCAACATTATTCTGTATATAATATTCTCTTGTGCTTAAATTCTCAATTTGTGTTGTTAGAATGCCAATATAATCAGATACGTACAAACAAAAGTTCCATCATATTTACAATACTTTGGGATATGAGGTAATAATCAACCGATGAATGAGAAAAATTAAAAAGAATTTATCTTAGTTATGGATTTATCTTTGGTAGTCTAACTTATCAAGTAATTTGATTTTTTGAACAATCTTCACAGTTCATTTCCGGAATTACTCAAAAAGAGCATTCTCTTTTTTAAATGGAATCGTAGGGTTTTTTTGTTTTTTTTTTTTTTTTTGGTGCATGTGTTTTGCAAAAGCCAGCTAGCTAGCTAGCTACTTAAATTGGACGATAATACTTTAGATGAGAACTATTCTCCCACATGCAATCATGCATGTCTACTTGGATCATATGCTTTTCTTTAAACTGATTTAACATTGGATCTTTGAACTTTGTGTCTGAGTTGGTGCAAGCTAGCAAAGCAATTGTTTATCTATATAGTCACAAGTATTATATTTTGTTGTCACTTATTTTGGAACTCTTCCTTGTCCCCAACCTTCCTCCTCCTTTCCTCACCATATTTTGTCTTCTTCCAACCTCTTGTAGATATATTTAAAGTTTTCTGTTCTGAGAGCAACATAAATCGAACAACATATTAAAAAAATAAAAAAATAAAAACACGAAACAAAGTTTATTATTATAATGAATGTAATATTAAGTATAATTTTAACTCTAAACTTATACATAATATCGCTTTATTGGACTGAAACAGTTTGGTGATGAATCTTTTCCATAACGTTGACCATATACGTACAACTTGTTTATACACATAAAACTTTTTCCTTTTAATTTCTTCAACAAGGATAGATAGATACATATTAACCTTTTCAACCGTGACTATTTTGTTTTTAGTTTTATTTTTCCTAGTAAAGCAAATGACTAGGATAGGTTCTTCATAGAGACAACGAAACTTGGAAAATGGGAAAGCATGCAAAGAAAGCAGGAAGGTTTCATATAGTTGAGTCCATATATAAGATTCATCATCTATACATAGAATGTCACAATAATAAAGATACAAAATTGTCTTGAAATACTAATATCGTGACATCCCATGTTCAACGAATGCATAATTTTCTAAGCAGAGAAACTACTACAGGGTAAGAAAATTGAACAAATTAGAACTTATAAGGGGGTGCTAAAAATAATGGTAGTGAGAAACCAAATCTGGAAGTACCAAGTAACTTGAACCTACACCAGATAAAAGATCTGTCACTATAATTCCAATATTTCCACCCTTGACTAGTAACATATATATCTTTGAGCTCCCAAATTCTCTAGAAACCAATTATTGTAGTACCCCTTACACATATTTGGTGCATACACTTTTGACATTTTTTTCTACCTAAAAAGGTATTAGCGGGTGGCTTTGCCACAGCCCCACAGCAGTCCATCTTTTCAGAAAACGAAAGCATACAGTTTGACTTCTAGAAATATAAAAGCTAGCTAGTTATATGCAAACTAATTATTTCACTACTCTGATATGTTACAAAGAGAATCATTTCTATATTTGTATCAACAAACAAAGCTTATTAAGTGACGTGGTCAAATGCATTGGTCTCAGACTCCATCGGTTACCAGTTTTGGCGGGTATATGTCCTTGTTCTTTTTCTTATTTAATTCCTAGTGCTGCTGGCTCAGTTCCCATTTCTTCAAAGGTCAATAACAAGTGGAAAAGTGGAGGGAGCTCCCCGCCGTCTGATCTTGGGCCTTGGAGTCTCGTTTTGGGCCAAATTGATGAACATGTCTGGTGCAGTTGGTGTCTGCAAGGTTGAAGAGTGGCCCTGGATTTCTTTGTAAAGTTTGGGTTTTTATTTGGTATTTTTAGCTGTTTTGTCATATGGTTTCTGGGTTTTCAATTTTTAATTTTGTTATGTTGAATTCTAGTTTATGGATAATTGAGTGATTTTGTGTAGCTAGAAACCTGAAACAGTTAAGTATTGGGATAGTGAAAATCACA